CAGGGAACTGTTACTAGCAGGTGCGCCAAGGGGCCCAGGCAGATAACGGCGACTCACGTGCGTGTGCTGGCGGTGCTCTCGGAATTGTTCGGGGACCCAGATGCGTCCGGGAAGGGAGATGAGGCGTGAGGGTGGCAAGGGCAGCCTCTCTCTCAGGGAGCCTTGGGTTTCATCTCAGAAGTGACAAATGCGAAGACAGGGTTCCCACGCCCAGTAAATGAGGTGTGACGCGGCCGATCCCATACGGTGTCTCGCACTCCTTCACGGCCAAAGGCGTCCAGGTCCTCGGAGGCCTCATTTTTAACCTTTTCGTGAGAGGGGGCACCAGGGCAGGCGGGAGGGGGCGGCCTCATCACATTTTCCTTCAGCGGAGTCGGTTGGGAGCAGCCTCGCAGACGTGGGTGCATTCGTCCACCCAGCGGTTCTCTGTGCCAACACGTTCACTCTGCTCTTCGCTCGATGAGAAACGCATTCGGGTTTAACTTGGGATTTGCTTTCCTTTTTTTTTTTTTTTTTAAATATATTTTTGGGAACACAAGAAACCACATTTTTTAATGCTGAGACGGTATTCCCACACCCATTAACCTATGCCCTACACGGATCCAAAAGGAAATTTCACACACGCGCAGCTATTCCTTGAAGACCGAGCCGGGACTCGGGGCCAAGCCTCGCCGGCCCCCACGGACAGCCCACCCCCTCCCCCTTCCTATTAAAGGATGGTCTCAGAATAGGGCCGCTGCTGTGACAGCGGCAGCGGCGATTTAAATTGCATTTCTAAATATAACACGTTCGAGGCAGCGGCTGAAAATTCACGTCTGAAACCCTATCACTTTTTCTCTGCTTGTTATACGCAAAGGCGTTCATGGATAGCAAAGATATTCTCCCTACCTCATTTTTAAAAAAATATTTGTTTTTATTGATTTTTAGAGAGAGGGGAAGGGAGAGGGAGAGAGAGAGAGAAACATCAGTGATGAGGGAGAACCATGGATCAGCTGCCTCCTGCAGCCCCCTACTGGGGATCGAGCCCGCAACCTGGGCCTGTGCCCTTGACCGGAATCCAACCCGGGACCCTTCAGTCCACAGGCCGATGCTCTATCCACGAAGCCAAATCAGCTAGGGCGTCGTCTCGCTTTCAAAGACATAGGAGAAGGAAGCCCACAATGCGCAATTCCATTTCCTATTAACAGTGAAGCTCAGAGTAGACCCCGTAGTCTAAGTTAGTCGTCTAAACTAGTTTAACGGTTTAAACTAGTCTTGCACACGAAGAACAATGCAAAGGAGCCTTCACTGTTAGGAAAGCATTGAATGGGATCTAGATTGTATCCAAAGGCGCTAATTAAAATTCCGGGTAAACTTGGGGAATCCGAGAGGTCAGGCATGCTTTTTGATATTCTTATTTGACAGAATCAGCATCCTCCCCCCCACCCCCCTTTTCCTGGTGTTTCCCGTGTATAAATTATTGGGGGGAGGGCGGTTATGGTGTAAGTTGTCTTACATGGTACTAGAGGCCCGGTGCACGGAATTCGTGCATGGGGGTGGGGTTGCTTCCAAGTAGAA